AGTGGTCACTCCTTTTTTCCCATATCCCCTCCTTATATTTCCTTTCTCAGTGTACTTTCTAATCTCATGTCCTGTCTGGTCCAGTCAGTATTTTGTCACTCTCTTCCTCCATTTGTAGTTCCTCTCACCGTCCTTTCGTACCATGGGACCCCTTCTTTACTGGGGCTTCTCTTCCTCCTCCATTATGAGTTGGATCTGCCAGCTCATAAGTCTTGCATATGCCCTTGTGGAGACAGATGATTCTATGCTCTCTCGAGTCTCCTCTCTTTTCTCCATCCTGGCATGAGGACTACCCCACACTTCTTTGTTGCCCACAATCTGCATCCTCTGACTATCTCATCTCTGATGGGATTTAGACTCATGCCCATTCTACAATCCACCCTCCATCTGTGATTGTACATAGGAACCCGCTAAGTGGCTAGTGCTGCCTCTCAGGGTATACTTACCCAAAATTCTGCATCAAGCCAGGATGACTGAAAGAGCTCATGCCATCTGCCCTGACTCTACACGTGCCCAATGTGAGATGGGGTGATCCACAAGACCACTTGAAGTTTCTTCGTGGTATTTCTAAATATTTCCACGTTACATATCTTATCCGATCCTGACCTTACCCATTCCATATATCATGGGGAAAAACCAGCACCAAAGTTGTCTATCTTCTCACGTCTCTAGCCTGTGGTTGCTGGATTTTAAAAATAGGGTTTCACTATCACCCATTGCACTGTCTACAGTAAAAGACTTTTTGAGACAGAGGGGCCAAATTAGATTTGGGCACATTCTCTGGGTCTCCTTTACTCAAGCCCCCCTCCTCATTGAATGGGGCATGGGAGACCCTTGCCATTTACCAACTCCTGGCTGCTGGGGTGGTGGACCATATATTTTAGATATATCACAATCTTCAAGTGGACTTTAGATCATGTAATTATATCACTCATTTATATATACCTTTCTATCACAATTCCTGCTCCTTAGGCTAGCATTGAGTCTGACAGTTAAGTAGATGAGCCAATCCCAATTCAACTGTGATGTATCACTCACACACCCTTTTACCACAGCAGGCAAGGGGCCCATGGTGATTGATGGTAGAGTAGAGGTAATATAAGTATCCATAATGACATATTCCATTACACTGATTTTCTCCTGCAGCTGGCATTGATTTACAGTCGAGGAGGTGAGCATGGATATATATTACAAGTGCCCTTCTCCCACAACTGGTCTTGACCCATCAAGTCTGTTCGTAGAGAAGGTGAGTACATAACGTATGGTCTGAACAAGCTCCAACCTCACTACATTGGCCATCTCATGCGTTTTGTAGGAGTACTCTGATTATCATGTACCTATTCCACCCATCCATGCAATGCATTTATGGCTTTTTAGCCTCTTCTTATTCAGGAGTGAAGAGTACACCCTGGATAAGACAAGATATGATCTCCCATGAGTGTGCCCCTTTGAAGCCCCTGCCATCAAGTGTTACATCCCATGGGCTTCCTTCAGACACTTTCTGAAGGGAACTTATATAGGTAATCTCTGCATTGGTCCCTTAATCATCTCAACATAGTATTCTAGATATCTGTGTACAGAAGTGAGTATTTGTTTCAGAAGTTAACATTTTCCTTACTTGAAAATGTATTTCCAATAGGTACTCAGATCTGTACACATTCCCACCCAATGTTGGGTATACAAGACTGTTTGTCTTAAGTATTAATTTTATTTAGTGATTTAATATACAATGATTATTTAGTTTTCATAACAATAGTGTTAAAAGTTAATTATTTTAAAAGCAATAGTTGGGACAGGTTTTGACACATAACTCTGTACGAGTCATTCATACGTTGTGATGCAGTTTAATTGTTTTACTAGGCTTTCATAATATTGTTGATGTCATCTTACTCAAAGCTTCTAAGTTTTCTCCTTATGTTTAATATTGTTGTCACTAGAGCGCTTGATTTTTCTGCCGCGTGCTATAAATACTATCAGATACAGAAAGGAAGTTGAGATAATTAGACAGATTCCAAAGTGAGTTTCACAGTGGTATTGAAACAATAGAGATAGAAAAAATAACTTGTCTTTTCAGTTGGGTTCTAAAGTAACTGAACCAGCCTGTATGAACTTTTGACCAAAAAATGAGACTATTACTTAAAGCTCTGGATACAACTGTGGTAACCAAAAGTTAGTGAGAAGAAGTTAAGTTAGTGAAAGTGAAGTTGGACTGCATGATTGTTAGTTTAGTAGTAACGGACAATATCTGAAGTGAGTTTCACAGAGGTATTGTAACAACAGGAATAAGAAAATGATAATCTGCCTTGTCAAAGGGTGTTTTAAAGTACCTGTGTGGACTTTGATGAAATTGAGACAATTATTTAAAGTTCTGGATACAGCTGTGGTAACCAACAGGGTAATATAAGTGAATTATTCACTGATTCTATTGTAATAAAAGAGTAGAAAAGAATAATTTGTCTTGTCAATTGGGCTCTGAAGCTACTGAACCAGCCTGTGTGGTCTTTTGATGAACAGGTGAATTATTTAAAGCTATAGATTCTACTGTGAACAATAGTGTAATGTATTTTTTTGTACATACATGTGACGTTTTTGAATATATATACATATACTATTTTAAAACAAGTGGATTATGTACTTTCAGTTAACGCCAACAAGTCACAGACATCTACTGTAAAGAATTAGGGCATATAAAAACTTGACACACCTAAACAATGTACGTGTGGATAACAATCAAGGTTTGTCTGTCATAATACATCAAGTACACTTAACAATATACTAAAAAAAACTGACATTTGGTGAGCCAGGCAGGATTATACAGTGGTAAATGGCAATAGAAGAAGACATGAATGGTAGTGGAAATAAGTAGGCCTGTATATGCTCAATTGTAGTGATGGTGAAAATAGTGTAAAGATTACAATCATGCTATGTATTTATGCCAACAGATTTTGAAAAATGGATAGAAACAGGTGAGTGTCTTGGGTTCAAAGATGGGGAAATATGAGAGTTTATTAAATAACAACAAGAACTAGAGAGAAGAGAAGTAGGCAGAGAGGAGAGGAAGAAATACTAAAAGAAGAAAATTAGAAAAAGGAGAGCCTGGAAATAGAGAGGATAAGAGCGCAAAGAGAGAAGGGAAAGACTGGAAATAGAGAGAATAAAAACACAAATTTAGATCACCAAGCTTGCCCAACAAGAAGAAGAAACCAAGAATGACAGTGAGGACAGGGCCAGCCAACCCAAGCTGCCCAAGTTTGATGAACAGAAAGATGACTTGGATGCTTTCCTGGAGAGATATAAAAGTTTTGCCCAAAGTCAGAACTGGGAAGAAAAGGTGACTGGACAGTCTGTCTCAGCCATCTTCTCACAGAGAAAGGCTTACAAGTATATGCAGGCATGACGTCACAAGATGCCCTGGACTACGACAGTTAAAAGTGGCCTTGCTGAAACACTATGAACGTATCAAAGAAGGTTTTTGTTGGAATTTCAGAGAAGTCGAGCCTGATGCTGGAGAAACTGTATTTCAGTTACAACACACTGACCTTGGCTGAATGAATTATGCAGAGCCTTTGTTTTGAAATTCTAGAAAATGACTGTATAAAGGTTGCAATGTACATTCTGGTTGTCATTTTGGTGATATATTCAACAGCTGAATGTCAAAATGCCTCCAAAACATATGAGATTCAAAGCAGAATTCAAGATTCAAGTTGGGAAATTTGCCAAAAAGACAAACAACTGTGTGTTTTCTGTATAATTTTTGGGGTAGACTTATATGACTTTGATCAGAAGATTACAGGATTTTTTAGCCTAGATTTATGGGTTTGACTTATATGGTGAGTCAACTTATATGCCCCAACATAAGATATCTTACTCTACTATAGTATATATTTATTACATGCAAAATTATTAAATTTCTCTATGTTTTGACTTTGGAACATAGTATATTCAGTGATAAATTGAAATTGAGATGTTACTTTTTGTAGCTTTACCAATCCAGGAACTTATTTACTGTTTCATGGGATATTTTCTCGTACCAGGGCTTTTTTTTTTTAATTAATCAGCTATAAGGAGAGTGTGCTTGTGATCTGCAGTTTTGGGACTTTTAGGGGAAAATTTGAATGACCTTGAAGAGAGGGCCATTTACCTTTGTAAGAGATCTAAAATGTTGTTGTGCAAGTCTCATCATTGTCTTACTACTACTCTATTTGCTGATCATGCATAATTTCTTTTAACTTTGTTTTAATTTACTTCAATTTCATTTTCTTATCCTGAAAACTCATTGTACATGAAATAAAGCATTAGTTTTGTGGATGAAACTTGTTCATTTCTTTTCCTCTGCAAGTGTCCTCACATTAACATTAACGTCACCAAATCTCTTGTTACATGTGGATGATTTCTTGTGTACCACTTTTCCTTTAGACCAGGAATACCACACATAATTTCTGGTCATATTTCTCTGTAAATGTGATGACCACCTTAGCAGAAATTCTAGGTTTGGGGGATGATGATTCTATCATCAGAAGATACATCAGAAATTTCCTTAATGAAATATTTGTATCTTATACCAATCTACATTCAGTATAAATGTTATAGACTCAAATAAAACAATGCACTAAATCAATTTTTAAAAGACTTAAAATAAGACCCAAAACTCGAGTGCATTCGAATAGTTGACTATTCTTCATTGTTCTTCTGAAGAAGAATAGTCAACTATTCGAAAGCGCTTGAGTTTTGGGTCTCATTTTAAGCCTATTACACTTTATATGTGATCCTTCGTGCTAACTCTTTTTATCAAAATCAGTTTTTAAAAGGTAGCAGGATTTTCTTCTTTGTTGCAGTTAAACTACTGTAAAATTTTGCAGTTTATAGGATTGATTTTGATAAGCATTCTTCAAAGGTTCATTATTATCAATAAACATATTTTAATGTATACAAATTTGTAAAATTTTTGGCAATTAAACATTTTACAATATATGCCAGTTTTTACTTTTGAAAATTTTCAGAATTTTTCTTGGGCCTGATATTCATCACAAATGCAGTGTTCAGTATATCTGTGTACTTGTGGCAAGTGTTAGGTCAGAACTGTGTATATGTTACCCCACCTTTCAAAAAGTTGCTTGGTATTTCTGATCAAGGTAAGAGAAAAGATATATAAATATATTTGGAATTACAGATATTAAACATTATGTGATTACCATTTGAGATAAAACAAACATTTAATCTGTAGAGTTTAAAATAAATTTCTAGTCTTCCTTGCTTGTGTAATAAGACCAATCATCCTCATATTGATATTTCATATGAATTTAATTCTTATTATACTTTTCTTGGATAAAGGATTTTCAAGATATATAACATTCTTTCATTGGTAGTATTACTCAGTGTTTGTAACTTGATTTACATAAAACAGAATTCCAATACATTAACTTTACATGACAAATTTAATCATTTCTTAGATTTTGAATGTATGAAAAATCATATCAGTTTTGAAAACAAGGATGATATATGTATAAACATACTGTAGTATTTTCATTTATTTTTAGTTTCTTAACTAGATATGACTAACATTGGAACTATCCAGTACAGATAAGAGATTTTTTCTCACAGTGTTTTGATTCATCAAACCTTCCACTGCAGTTCATTCTAAACTTTCCAAAATATAATCTATCACTTTAGCCATGGGTTATATATTTATATTTGAATATAGCTTGTACAGAAAATGGTCAGTACATTTTCTATTTGTTCAATGCTTCACTTGTTGCTGTTTTGAAAGCTGAGGTTTTGTGTGTGCTTAAAGAGCAAATAATAATTTAAAATTCAGGTATTGTTGTATTTCATTTTAAAAAAATCACTTAAAGTACTGTAACTTTTAATTTGAAAAATACAATTAACCTGAAGTTCCTTATGAAGTGAAAGAATTACACATTTGGTTATAGTTTAATTTTTATAAACAATTCTTGTTATATAAAGCTTTTTAAAATGTTAATAGAGTCAACCAAGCTCTTGATGTCAAATGCTGTAGTTTCACTGTTTATTTTGTATATTACTCAGATATAGGTTTTAAGATGCAAGTTCCCAAATCCACTGAGCCATTGAGTCCTAGTCCTCAGACACCATCTCCAGTTAATTCATTCTTTCTACCCTCACTTCAGTCCAGCAGACTTTCATCTCAATCCTACTTATCTATGACACCAGTAGATTATTCAGCAGCCAGCTGGGCAAGCACAAGGTAGATGTGTCATTACTTTAAACTTATCCTTGGCAAGCTCAAGGTAGATGTATCATTACTGTATATTTATCCTTGGCAAGCTCAGGGTAGATGTGTCATTACTGTATAGTTATCCTTGGCAATCTCAGGGTAAATGTATCATTACAGTATATTTATCCTTGGCAAGCTCAGGGTAGATGTGTCATTACTTTAAACTTATCCTTGGCAAGCTCAGGGTAAATGTATCATTACAGTATATTTATCCTTGGCAAGCTCAGGGTAGATGTGTCATTACTTTAAACTTATCCTTGGCAAGCTCAGGGTAAATGTATCATTACAGTATATTTATCCTTGGCAAGCTCAGGGTAGATGTGTCATTACTGTACATTTATCCTTGACAAGCTCAGGGTAGATGTGTCATTACTTTAATCTTATCTTTGGCAAGCTCAGGGTAGATGTGTCATTACTGTATATTTATCCTTGGCAAGCTCAAGGTAGATGTATCATCACTAACTATAAAAGGCTACTTCCCTTTGTCACTCTGTCAAGAATGCTTTCATGCCCCCCTTTTTAAGCTAAAACTGTCACCTGATTATTCTTTGGCCAATTATGGTGTTTATGTTGAATGCTCATATTCAAGTTGATTTGTTAGAAAGGTTGGTTTTCTATTCTTTATTTTTTTTATAACTTAAGTGATATAACAGCAAAATAAGATTTACCAAGTAGTGTTTAATCTAAGCCTTACTTTACATTTATGTTTTAGGCCTGATGCTTAAATTAGACTACAAATAGGTCTACTATTACTAACGTTATTGAGTCAGTGTTTAAAAAGTGTTAAGTGGTGAATAAATGCTAATTAATGAATATCTTTTGGTATTTTAACACATCTATTATTTATTTGGCCTTAAAACATATAGAAAAATAAATTATTGCTATCAAATATTTTTTGTACAGTTAAGAGTTGAAAATTTGTGTTGGATTGACCTCACTATGTTTTCTACTTCCTGATCTAGAATACAGTGAAAAGGTTTAAGAGTGCTATTTAAGTCTCTTTTAGAGTGCACACATACTTTTGTTTATGATAACATTTCATTTTTCTGCATAGTTTTTACTAAACTTGTGGTGATTAAAGAATTACTTCGAGACTGATGAAATAAGTGAAGAGTAGGTGCATTTTGGAAGTACAGACAAATTCGTTTTAGTTAAATTATATAATTTTCGTTAATTGTTTCCCATCATGTTTGACGAGATGTTATACTAGTTATTGTATATTTATCATTGGCAAGCTCAAGGTTCGTGGCACATATATCAGTACTGTATATTTACCCTTGGCCAGTTTGTGCCACATATATCAGTACTATATATTTACCCTTGGTCAGTTCGTGCCACATATATCAGTACCGTTCATTCATCTTTTGCTTTTAAAAGTTCGTAATGTGTCATCTAATGAAACAGTTCAAACAATGGATATCAAATGTAAACCTAAGAAACAAAATGCATTTAATTGAGTAATATTTTAAAATAAATTGTATATTCAAAATACGTAATAATCCAAATAATGAATAGATGTCCATAGTATGGGCACATATTGGAATTAAGTATTGGATAGCAAATTTATCTACATCGTTATTTTTCTGAGTTATTTTTGTGATGTCAAGATTGTCTGAATTACTGTTGTGATAGCATTAGATCACCATACTAGTAAACTCATTTTCCTCACTTTATAAGTGTTTTCGTTATTAGATATGATGTTAAAATAACCCAAAACTCTTTTTTACTATATCACAAGCATCGTACATCACCAAATCACAAATTTTAAGAATGAAGACTCACTACAGTACACATAACAAACTTCACAGTAACATGTAAATTCTAAGAATGAAAACTCACTACAGTACACATAACAAACTTCACAGTAACATGTAAATTTTGAGAATTAAAACTCACTACAGCACACTGTAACACATAACCAACTTCACAGTAATGTGTAAATTCTAAGAATGAAGAGTCACTACAGTACACATAACCAACTTCACAGTAATGTGTAAATTCTAAGAATGAAGAGTCACTACAGTACACATAACAAACTTCACAGCAACATGTAAATTTTAAGAATGAAGACTCACTACTTTACACATAAACTTCACAGTAATGTCTAAATCTTAAAAATAAAAACTACTACAATACATGTAACCAACTTCTCAGTGACTTCACAGTAATGTGTAAATTCTAAGAATGAAGGCTCACTACAGTACACATAACCAACTTCACAGTAACATGTAAATTTTGAGAATGAAAACTCACTACACTACACATAACCAACTTCACAGTAATGTGTAAATTCTTAGAG